GAGAAATCCTTCTTCGACATGATATCGATTTTTCCACATATTGAACAGACTGCCAGTATGCGACAATGCGCCATAAGTCACAGTCTAAAACCTATGCAAAGAAAGAAAGTATTCCGGACACGAACCTCATTGGCCATCACGACCAACGCACAGGGCACGACGGCAAACCCCACCGGGCACAACGGCAAACTCCACCGGGCACAACGGCAAACCCCACCGGGCACAACGGCAAACTCCACCGGGCACAACGGCAAACCCCACCGGGCACAACGGCAAACTCCACCGGGCACAACGGCAAACCCCACCGGGCACAACGGCAAACTCCACCGGGCACAACGGCAAACCCCACCGGGCACAACGGCAAACTCCACCGGGCACAACGGCAAACCCCACCGGGCACAACGGCAAATTTTACCGGCCACTACGCAGACTCGTCGACTGTCTTGCTGTCCGTAAGGATCTGTTAGATTTTTAGTAGAAGATTCGTTCAGGAAGTTGGGTACCTATGCTAGTGGAGATAAAAGAAAACAATTCTTCCAGCTACACATTAGACAGGGAGACGAGGAAGACAAGGATACATCACACGATTACTATCAAGATAGAACTCTTTCCGTGATTGTCTCGTTGTGAAACTTCTTGAAAAATAAGCTTTTGTGCCCAAGTTCAATTCTTGCTGCCCTTATTCTATTGTACAGAATGATTCGTATTATTTTTCTGACATTGAGAAGCTTTCCCAGTCACCTTCCAAACTTCTGATATTTATCGTTTATTCATCCAGCATTTGAGTTACGTCTGCTTCTTTAATCCACAGAAGCATCCTTATCCAACAGTCGAATGAGCAAACGGAATTCTTATGTGTGTGTCAACAATACTTCTGTAACAATGACTCTCAAAACGTGACAGCTGTGCAGACTTGCGTATTGTGATATCACGCGCTTGCATCATAACATGCAAGCTGTGTGTAAGTACACCCGGCGCTTCGCCATAAAACTTCTCAAAACATTCGCCACGAAATAAAGAAGAGAACAGAATAAAGTTGAACTATATGCGAAACGTCAGCCTACTTTGATGTCAATCCAACTTTAACCCAGTCTTATATGCATCCTGGTTCCTTGGCAGCGAAGTCAGTCGGCGCTCGAGCTTGTCCCCACACCCGGGCCACTTCAATTTCCGCAACAGGAAAGGTCGCCGCTGTGGCAGGCACACTGGGCTGCAGGTCTGATTCGATGCACCTTTAGGTGGGCATTAAGTGCCATATGAGACACAGTGGCAACAACAGATGTTAGTAAATAGTTGATTAAAGAGAATCACCCAGGTCTTGTGGAAAATATCCCGCGACCTCTTTCTTCCTTGTTCTTCTCGTTTTTGCTAGCCCGGGTTGTATATCCCGCGACCTCTTTCTTACTTGTTCTTCTCGTTTTTGCTAGCCCGGGTTGTCGCCAGGCTTTTGTCACAATGTTGGAGTCACTTATAGTAAAGATATGACCTGAGAAGCGAAGTATGTGAGCCAGAAGGTCAAGGAAATGCAGCATTGATAAACTCTGTCTGACAACTTCTGGATATTAATACAACGTTGTTGCTATCTCCCTGTTCAACCAACCGGCATTCCGTGCACAGTCTCACAGTGAAACACATCCTCCCGTACTACCGTTACGAAAATTCTTGTTCGAAAAGGCTGCCGTCATTAAAGGGGCATTAGCTACTTCAGACTTGATGTTTTGTATTATACCACCGCCCGTAACAGTCGAACCTTGGTTATAAATGTGCCAGACAGTAAGACGCACCCCTCGGGGTAACCAAATTAGCATTGACCATATATCGATACTGTCCATAGCTCATAGATTTTGCCTGGGTTCCCAGCTGTTGAACGTCACAGCGAAACACGGATGAAAAGAGTGCGTTGATTCTGTAAGCTAGAGATGCC